TTTAGAGTTTGGTCCCATCTCCAAGATACCTCATTCTCTACATGTATGCAAATCTGTGTATTCCAAAATCCAGAAGAATCCAAAACACTTTTGGTCCCAAACAATATTCAACCTGTAGTAAGATTTTTTCAACTCATTAAAGAATGCCACATAAACAATTCTTGCATCTCAATTAATTTAATGTAATAAGATGTACTTTTTTGTACTGCAAGTTGCTTTGCGGAGAAGATAGTTGAATAGTTGTATAGTTAAATATACAACAAATAAGATCATCAAATAGGACAGTGTATTAGAAATGTAAGCATTATATTTCAATTACGAGGGCTTTATAACAATTAAGACCTGGTGGATACTTTAATCATATGTTAGTTGTACCTTAGCCAGCCAGGAGAGGGAAGCATTTCAAAAAAGGAAGCTTTTAGCTAGCTATGTGGAGTCCCTTGATGTTATGCTATGGTGGTTAGTTATTTAAAACAAAATAATGGAAATTGATACCTAAAAGAAAGAAAAACCCAAAGTGCACAGAAATAGAAATGTCATTTTTGGGTGATAGTTTCACTTCATGCATGGCATTTATATCTGTGTAGCTTTAGGATCTTTCATAGTAAAGTGGAGTGCTAAAAACAAGGTAACAGAAGGCTCAGAGCAAAACCAGGCATTACATTAGCCCTGAACTTTTTTGCTTTCAGAAACCTTTAATACTATGTTTTAAAGTTTAAGAAGAGAGCCAGCATGGTGTAGTAGGGTTCAAATCTCTGTTTGACTATGGAAACCCACCAGGTGATCTTGGACACATCTCACACTCAGCCTCAGGAAAGGGAAAGGGCCAATCCCCGTTTTGAATAAACTTTGCCAATAAAATTCCATTATAAGTTCACCTTATGGATAGCATTAATCAGAAACGATTTGAAAACATGCTCCTAATTGCCTAGTTAGGAATCATGTCCAATTTGTTTTTAAAAATGTATAGAAGGCATGTGGATTCACTGTTGGACCCATATTGTGCAGGAAAGCATGTTTAGCCCTCTCAATCCTTGCAGTCAGTTTGACTACCCCTCTCCCCCCAATAGTCAGCTGTTATCCTTAGAAAATGACCTTTTAATTTTTCTAACACCAGTTGCATTGGGTGGCAGTATAATTTCCATCCAAAACATAGCTATAGATGTTAAATTCACCTTTTGACCCCATACACTTCTATTCAATGTTATTCTTTAAAAATATATGGTGTCTAACCATGGTATGGAAAAGTCCAAAGGTGCTAAACCCTTATCAGCAAAATACGGTACCTTTATTAGGCTGACAAAAAGTTCCCAAATTACTACACAAGACATTGAGTGATTTATTTATCATATCATTAGAAAACCAGACATTTGTATTACATTTTTAACAAAAACAAACAAACAGACAAAACACAGAATTTGCAAGCTTGGTAGTTGATTAAATGTCCTTTGACCAGTAGCTGGCCACTTGGAGTGCCTCTGGTGTTGCCGCAAGGAGGTCCTCCATTGTGCATGTGGCAGGGCTCAGGTTGCATTGCAGCAGGTGGTCTGTGGTTTGCTCTTCTCCACACTCGCATGTCGTGGATTCCACTTTGTAGCCCCATTTCTTAAGATTGGCTCTGCATCTCGTGTGGCAGAGCGCAGTCTGTTCAGTGCCTTCCAAGTCACCCAGTTTTCTGTGTGCCCAGGGGGGAGTCCCTCATTTGGTTGAGGTTCTGGGTTTGAGCCTGCCACTTTTGGACTCTTGCTTGCTGATGTGTTCCAGCGAGTGTCTCTGTAGATCTTAGAAAACTATTTATTGATTTAAGTTGTTGACGTGCTGGCTGATACCCAAACAGGGGATGAGCTGGAGATGTCTCTGCCTTGGTCCTTTCACTATTGGTTGCTACTTCTGGCGGATGTCAGGTGGTGCGATACCAGCTAGACAGTGTAATTTCTCAGGAAAACATGATGGGTGAGGAACTGAGGCTGAAGTCATGGAATCTATCTTTGCGTAGTCTGAAGAGTGCAGTGCTGACTGTTGAAGATGGCAAAGCGTCTATAGAATTATTTTACTAGATATTTAGATTAAAATGACATTAAACTACATTGATTCTTCAAATGTACCTTGCTTGGACACTACTCTAACTGAAGCTGTGCTGTATCCAAATAATAATAATAATAATAATAATAATAATAATAATAATAATTTTATTTATTTCCTTCCTTTCCTTGTGGTCTAAAAGTTACAGCATAAACACTGTAAAGATTCTATAAACCCACGTATCAAAATGTATTTCTATAAAATATACATTTTAAAACCTATTCCTATAAAATAATTATTTTATTTTATAAATCTGTCTCCTTAACCCATAGAAATTGTTTAGGACTACACTTACATTGGGTTAATTTGATCCCAACCATGTGACTGTTTTCCTGAGCTCAAAGAAGTTCAGATTTGGCAAACTAGATCCTTCCTTACAACATCTCATTTTCTCCTTTTTGGCTCATTTGCCAGCAAATCGCTGTCATCAACCTCTGATATCAACCAGGAGAAAACATATCTACGTACAGAAAAACACTTTTGGTGGCAGAATAGGCATATGCCTATTCCTTACTGTCTGTAACCGGCACATCCTTGAATCAGAATTGTGCTGAATGAGTGATAAAGAATCCAAAAGATTGCATGGTATTTTATGACCTTTGAGTTGGCCTAGTAATAGCATTAAGTGCAGATATTAATGTATGTTACTAAAGTCATGTGAGGATGTAATCTGGATGGTTATCTGTCTGGGGTACTTTAATTGCCTTTTTCCTGCATCCCAGAGATGTGGACTGGATGGCCCATGTAGACTCTTCAGACTGTATGATTCTATAATTTAACTTAAAGAATAATACAGAACTTTGACATGAACAGTTTCCAGTTTCCTTTTTGGCCGTTATTGTATGTCTTACTTTGATATATGAGTTGTGCATCACATACTGAGCAGAGTTCCTGAAGCATCAAAGCCTTCTCATCCTCTCTGATTATAAACTTAGTGGGTCAAAGCTATGAAACAGTCACCCACAGATTAAGTCAGAGTTTCTGCGTATTTAGGAAATTGCCTAAAAATGTTGATAAAAATACTATCAATAAAGCAAAGCTGTACAGTAGGCAACAATATACTTTGTGCCTCAAGATGCAAGGAATTTTGAAAATGTCATTTGGGAAGAAGGAATGAAAATGTGGAATATGTATTGCTGGTAGTTGGCATGATTGAATCTTTGGAGTAGACAATGCATGTCTCTCCCTGCTACTCTGTACTCTTCTTAGGGTTCTAAAACCATTTTAACAATAAGAGACATCATAGGGAATTCTTGTCCTGAAAAATGTAGCTGCTCCAGTTTTACATCCTATAATAACAAATTGGTAAGGGGGGGGGGGTAGTGTTGAATTAGAAATGAGGCCATCAAGAAATAAAACTGCAGAATCAGCCCATTTTTGGACTGAGTGTGCTTATTGGGCTGCAGAACCCAATGTTGTATCAATTGGAAAAGAAAAGTCAAATTAACAGAGTTGAATGTGGTAAGGGGTCAGGGGTCTTAGGGCCCTTCGAGACAGGACTAAACCCTGACAGGAACTGGGACATTTAATCCCAGTTCCTGCCAGGATTTAGTCATATCATCATCATCATCATCATCATATTTAATTACTTATTAATCGCCCTCCATCCGAGAATGCTCTAGGCGATTTACAGCTAAATTGTAAAAGATAAAATACATACATACAGAAATTAAAAATTAACAGAGATCGAATGCTCTAGTAAAAAGCCAGGTCTTAAGTGCTAGAGTAAAAGGTCCTAAGTCACGCATGGCTCTCATATAGCCCTCCCCAGCTCCCTGTTTTGTCAAAAAAAAAACCTTGCCAAAACGGCCTGACTGCTCAGACCTCTTGAAGACAGAGTTGGGAGGTTGGCGATGGGCTTTGGAATATGGAACTTGCCATTTTGATTGCCAGACCTTTTTGAAGTAGGAGAGCATTAAAATTCTGAGAAATGAACAAATGTGGGTCTGTATAGTTCAAAAGAAGAGTGAAAATGTTCTCTGAATCATATTTTAGTAAGAACACAAAGTCTCAAGACGCTGAGATCTGTGGTTCATACTTTAAGTCTAAATTTTACACAATAAGCAATTGTACACATGGAAAACACACAACCTGTCTAATAGGTCATACTTCAATGGAGGTTATATACATTCTCTTTCTGTCTCTCTTTCATACAGTACTTTTTTCTCTTTCTCTTCTTCCTCTTTCTTCCTCTTTCTTCTCTTTTTATACTGAGTCATCCTTGGTTAAGTTTTAGACTAATTAAGCCCCTAATTGTAAAGTTGCATCTCAAAAGTCTGTGGCTTATGGCTGGGTCGGGGGGGGGGGGATCTTCAATATTGCAATTAAGCTTCTAAAATACTTTAAAACACCCTACTCTTTTAACACACTAGTCTCTCAACTGGCTTTTTGCATGCATTCAGCTTAAACGGCTTCTTAAGCACACAGCAAAATTGTTTTTTGCTGGGGGGAGGGGGAGGTATGAGAAAAAGTGCATGTTGTAATGTGGCACAGCATCTGTAATTATGAAACTTTCCTGTAAAATCTCCATGCGTCACGTTTAGTGAGTAGGTTCCACCCTCCCAGCTTCATCTCCAATTACAACAGCAGAGGGCGGGGAAAAGCTCAGTTAATTCACTAAGCAAAGAAGCCTTTACTATAGCAGGTGGAACATGTACACCGGACAAGATTGTTTTCTTCCTCTTTTGGGGGTCAAGATTTTTTTTCAAAGCACATTCCATTTTAAAGGGAGTTTTAATATGTAAAGAACTGAAATGAGAAGATCAGCTTAAAGACAAAATACCTTGAAAAATTATTAGCTGCAATTTGTGACATCAGGATTGCTCTGATTAAAAGTTTGTTTTCTTGCTGGCAGAGGTGTGTTCTGTAGAGACTGGTTCTCTCTTTTTTGTTTTTTTCCTTTTGTTTTTTTTTTTAAGTTTCATTTTTGAACAGCAAACAGAGAACTGCTCGCATTGGTGGTGCTGCTCCAGCTGCGTGTGTGTGTGTTGTAAAAAGGATGGTGTTTCTCTAGCTGCCACGCACAAAACAACACATTTGACAATGAGGACTCTTCGCAGGTTGAAGTTCATGAGTTCGCCCAGCCTCAGTGATCTGGGCAAGAGAGAGCCGGCAGCCTTAGATGAGCGGGGGACCCAGCAGCGACGGGCCTGCTCCAACGCCACCTGGAATAGGTAGGACCTTGTCTTTTTCTCCTTCCCTATTTGTCCATTCACAACTCTTCACCTGGCATTTTCTCACAGAAACCAGCATGACTATACTGTTCATTCCTGACTCAGATTTCTTTTCTTTTTGGAAAAGAAAATTCACTTGCACCTCCTTTTTAAAGCACAACAAAGTTCAAAGCCTGGGTTTGATTTTGTATGGAAAATGCCTCCCAGCAGATTTGTACTTCTTCCCATTCGTGTTGATATGGAATATATAATATTCGTTCATACCCATGACATTCAGTTGGAAGATCTAGGGAACTCTTTGCATCAAGTTGACTATCTTGTCTCCTGCTTGATTTCCTCTTTGTGAAAGTTAAATGTTCTGCTGCCCTGAAAATGAGATATAATGGAATGGCTTGGTTTTTAGAGTAAGAAGATGGCAGAACTCTGCATGATTGGTGAAACAGTGTACATCTTAGGACAGTCGCTTAAATATATTTGTAAACAGAAAGAAATCACAATAATGAAATAGGGAGATTTCTTGAAAGAACCGTTCCACTTTTACAAACAGCTTTATGGTAGGTTGTTGTAGGTTTTTTCGGGCTATATCACCATGATGTAGAGGCATTCTCTCCTGACGTTTCGCCTGCATCTATGGCAAGCATCCTCAGAGGTAGTGAGGTCTGGTGGAACTAGGCAAAAGGGTTTATATATCTGTAGAATGACCAGGGTGGGACAAAGGACTCTTGTCTGCTGGAGCTAGGTGTGAATGTTTCAACTGACCACCTTGATTAGCATATAATGGCCTGACTGTGCCTGAAGCAAACTTTTATTGAGAGGTGATTAGATGTCCTTGTTTGTTTCCTCTCTGTTGTTTTGCTGTTGTAATTTTAGAGTTTTTTAAATATTGGTAGCCAGATTTTGTTCATTTTCATGGTTTCCTCCTTTCTGTTGAAATTGTCCACATGCTTGTGGATTTCAATGGCTTCTCTGTGTAGTCTGACATGGTGGTTGTGAGAGTGGTCCAGCATTTCTGTGTTCTCAAATAATGCTGTGTCCAGGTTGGTTCATCAGGTGCTCTGCTATGGCTGATTTCTCTGGTTGAAGTAGTCTGCAGTGCCTTTCATGTTCCTTGATGCGTGTTTGGGCACTGCGTTTGGTGGTCCCTATGTAGACTTGTCCACAGCTGCATGGTACACGGTAGACTCCTGCAGAAGTGAGAGGATCCCTCTTGTCCTTTGCTGAACGTAGCATTTGTTGGATTTTCTTGGTGGATCTGTATATAGTTTTAGATAGCTTTATGATAGTTTTAGATAGCTGTAGATAGCTTTATTGTATTTCCTCTACCACTGATGTAAGGTTGTGCGTTTTTGGAAAACTGAAAGGAATAAGTATACATTCTGGATCATATATAAACGTCATATGCAAAAGTTCGTGCAGTATAACCTTAACAGATTTCCCCTTTTGTGTAAGCAAAAAAAGGAAATGATGGGCAAGGAAAGGATACCTTCTTTGCTCTCATGGTTCTCAAATTCCCCTACTTAATGTACTTTCATTTAACAGAGTTAGGGCCTATCTTGGAAGTAAACCTCAAAGAAAGGTTTAAACGTAAAGCCAGACTGCGTTATTCCTCCCCAAAATGTCAAATTATATTTTCCTCTGACTTCCAAATTTCATCTATAGTTTTAACATTCTGTAAGTTAAAACTATAGATGAGCATTAGAAAGATAGTAAGCAGACAGATACCACACTGCCTGAGAAAGGAAGAAAGAAAACCTTCAACCCCCCCCCCCCCCGGCCGCCCAATAGTTAAACCCCTGTGATATGTAGTTTTTAAGGCTGCTACCTAGATTGGTGTTTTATTATTTAAAGGAAAACAGGAAGTGTTGGGGATTTCCTGGTTATTTCTTCTGTCATAATGTAACATCAAAAATAATCCAAGGCACACTTGGGGTCCATCTGCCAAGAATAATATTTTAAAAACCTGATGGTAGCAGGATTCTATGAAGAGATTGCATGTGTTTGGTCCACCCAGCCAGCCAGCTAAGGGAATTTCATAAGTTGCATCGGCCACATGGAGTAATGTCATCGCAAACATTTTTCACCAGTTATATGAAGCCTATAACAAATGAATTTACCTCCTTACAGCTTGATCTAATTATGTCACCAGAGACCCACATGAACTCCGTTTCTGAGAATATGTTAGACATATCACCTGGTCTGCCAGCCACAACATTTCATGAACAGGAATAACCTGGTTAAAGGAGTTCACCAGATTTCCTGGTTAGACTTGCAATAAAAGTGACTCACAAGCTGCAGCTAGCACAAAATTGAACTGTAACATTGCATAGCAATAATACAAAGCTGTTTTAAGATAATTAAACTGAATTCATAATTAAATTGAATTTGTGGTGCTGGTAATTACATTTAAAAGTCTAAATCAGACATCCTCAAATTTGAAAAAAAAGTTGTGTTTTTAAATACGTTACAATTTTACCCTCGATTCGCTTCTGAATCCTCAAACTGTGGCCCAAACAGCTGAAGGGCCACAGTTTGAAGATGCCTGGTCTAACTTGTTTGGGATCTTACTATCTGAAGGAATATTGCTGAAACAATCTGTGGAATCTGTGGAAAGAGACCTCTTGTGTCTAAGTAGTGGTAGCAATTCACTTCTGAATGGCATACGAGAGGACCTTCTGTGCCATGGCACCCGGTTTTTGGAAGGCCTCCCTCTTAAGGATTGCATGAAGCAAATGTTTTCTCCAGTCCCACATTAAGACAGTAGTTGTTGTTTTTATATTAAAGTTATGGATGTTTAATGATTTTCTCTACATCAGTACAAGTTTCAAACTTTTAAAATCTATTTTAGTTGTAACACTCTTGATTTGATTTTCATTGTTTCAATATATTTTCAGGCTATTTAAATTATTCCTCACTATTTTAGATTTTTCTAAATTGTTTTAAATTGAATGTACAGCCTGTGGTTTAGGATAAAATGTGAATATTATAACTGATACATGCCTCTGATTAGCAGCTGCCTTTATTGGAGATTAGCCACTATAAGGAAGAGATGAGTGCAGAAGGCTAAAGCAGAACTTGGAAATATTATTTTTCTGACCTTTTACAGAGTCCCATGGTGGTCATGTTGGCTGGACAGTTTTGGAAGTTATACTTTTCACAACATTGAGCAAAAGTATCTAGTACTGCCTATTTTTTGTTAATGAGTTTTGTTTTATTGTTTTGTATTACTGTTGTTGTTTTTTGCTGATGTATTGTGGGCTCAGCCTCATGTAAGCCGCACTGAGTCCCTTGGGGAGATGGTAACGGGGTACAAATAAAGTATTTTAAATTATTATTATTATTATTATTATTATTATTATTATTGTATTACATAAGGTTTCTTCTGTTTTATGACAAAATTACATGGTGAAATCGCTCAAAGGAAACTGAATTTGGACCTAGGGTTGCCACTTCTCCCCCCTCCCCCCGTGATTTGGGTTGTTCTTCCTGTTGTAGCTGCCAGTGATATTGTGTGCCTTCCAGTGGTAGCGATTTCAGCTAGGACCACGGTTAAGTGGATCCGTGGCTGGTGAGCAGGCCAAGACAGAGAAACAACTCACCAGATGGAAGACAAACCACAGAGGTTTATTACAATTTGGCCAAAATGAGGGATATGAGTACAAACAATTCACTTCAATTTTTGCTTCAATATGTACAAGCATAAACATACAGAGAGATGCAAAACACCTTTTACAGTTCTTACAGCCATTCAAACCTCCCACTCCCTCCCCTGATTGGCTAAGGAAAGAGCCAACCAAAATCTGGACTGGGATTGACTGAGAGTTCAGTTGACGTCACCACATCCAGGCAGGGATTCCCTTGGTGAGGAGAATGGCAGCCAGAGATTGGTCTATGCAGCAAGCCAATGATCTGCAGAGGCACCCCCTGAGAGGGCACTGTTTAAGAGGAACCTATGGCACAAATATGCTGATGATATTTTGATTAATTTAACTATTCAGTTCTGTGTGAGACAAAGATGGAGTTCAGAAGACAAAAGGTGCAAGATTCAAGAGACAAAGATGCACCGGGATTGTGGCGCAGCTGGCTGAGTGTCAGCTGCATTAAGATCACTCTGACCAAAAGGTCATGAGTTCGAAGCCAGCCCGGGTTGGAGTGGGTTTCCAACCAATTGTGTGTAGCCTGTTGTTGACCTTTGCAACCCGAAAGACAGTTGCATCTGTCAAATAGGAAAATTAGGTACCACCTTAAAAGTGTGGGGAGAAATTACACAGAAATTATCAAATTGATACAATTTGCCTATTCCAAATCCTCTAAATCTTCAAACTTGTGCTACTCCAGACCCCCAGAAAAGGTCTTTAATAAAAGGGGAAAAAATCATATTTGTATTTGTGGTCTCTTAGTGAACTATAGGAGCCCCCAGTGGCACAGTGGGTTAAAGCCCCTGTGCCGGCAGGACTGAAGACCGACAGGTCACAGGTTCGAATCCGGGGAGAGGCGGATGAGCTCCCTCTATCAGCTCCAGCTCCTCATGCGGGGACATGAGAGAAGCCTCAACAAGGATGATAAAACATCAAATCATCCGGGCGTCCCCTGGGCAACGTCCTTGCAGACGGCCAATTCTCTCACACCAGAAGCGACTTGCAGTTTCTCAGGTCATTCCTGACACGACAAAAAAAAAGTGAACTATAAATCTTGGGGGGGGGGGGGTACCACGGCTTGATAACAAAGGCATTTCTGAATTGTGGCTGTCCTAAGACAAAGTTATCATAGGGATTTGTTTATGTTTGTAATCCTCTGAGAGTACATCTACACTGTTGAATGAATGTAGTTCGACCCGGCTTTAACTGTCATGGCTCAGTGCTATGGAATCATGAGAGCTGTTGTTTGGTGAATCATCAGCACTCTAGCAGAGACTAAAGGTCTTGTAACACAACAACTCCATGATTCCATAGCATTGAACCATGGCAGTTAAAGTGCTGTCAAACTGCATTAATTCTACAGTT